TTTCGCTGATCCGCCGATTCTCCGACCGTCGTCCCTACCCACCTGCCTTACCGAGTCCGGAAACGTGCGAACTTGTAATGTTAAAAACGCAGGTAACGGCGGAACTCGGGCGTCCGAGTCCCGCGGCGAAGTTCCACTTTCGAAAGTGCCGTGGAACTCGAATTTCCGAAGCGCAAACAAGGAAACCGACGGCGGCGTTTCCGCATCGCCATTCGCGACTCGACGCGCGGCTCCTCCCTTTTCCTACCCTGTATTGTTCCGAGAACGTGTACGTTCTCAAATATCGCCGAGAAAATTACCTCAACTTCTTTTCTTTCCCGTAATTTTATTTCCTCCCTCTCTCTCTCTCTCTCTCTCTCTTTCTTATCTCAACGAAAGGATAACGCGTTCCGGAGATAGACGCGCGATGAGGGCTTAAAAATATCCGACAAAGCGTTATCTTTCTCTCTCTCATTATTTCTCCGAAGGCATCACGGAGCTCATTAAACGCGTCCGAGTGGTCGTTTTTTATTTTCGTCCCCTTTCCCCGCCGCCCGTCCCCAGACACAACGCGCGTCCGCTCGCGCCACGTGAGAGATTTTTTTCAAGACGGGATTTTAACGAGCACGTAGCACATTTTTCAGAGTCTTCCTCGCCGGTTGCCTTAATACTTCTCGCCCGGCTCCTCCGCGCGCTCCTCCGTACGTGCTCTCGAAGTTTAAAACACACACACACACACCCCACCGCTCGCCACCCTTCCGTGCACGCGCGCGCGCGAGTCGGGATTCTTAGAGGACGAAAATAACGAGATGCATTCGACGAAATGCGACAGCTGGAGAGCCGCGCGTATCCACGACGAGTGCGCAACGGAACGTCGTCGCCAGGCAATTTGTCGAGCTCGAACGAACGAACCGCCCTTCTCTGTCTGATTCATCCTCGCGTTCTCGACGTTCTCCGCGTTCGATAGCCGTTCTTCTCGTAAATTCTTTGCGAAAATTACAAACGTCGTGCGCGCGTCTCATACACGGTCGCTGTCGAGCTAACGAAGTTGCGAGACAAGCGACAAATTGGACGGTAATATTAAGGTAGTCGAGTCGCAGAGTGTTGTATTTTCCGTGACGCATCAAGGGGGCCGCTTTTAAATGTAATACTTATCGAGTAAATTTACATTCTTTATAAAATGCATTTATTTCTATCTGAATAATAAATGCTAATTTTTGAAATGAAGTTGAGACGGACAAATTTATACAATATTATAAGTACGAAAATATTTTTATTTTTTAATCTTCTTATTACGTTATTTCTATTCGACGGCTGATCTAATAGAGATAGTGGAAAGAGATATATAAATATTTAAATATATGTATATATATTTCCAACGTTTTTTACCATAATTTGTGAACTTTACACCGCTATATTTTTAATACGAAATGATAAATAATTCTGAAATTTTCATATATTTCTATATTAATCTTTAATATATTACGTTCTATTAAAATACTAAATGTGGTTTAAAACGAATTAAAAATAGAAGCTGAAAATAGGACATTAACCTCAAGAAATACGTATGAAATGTGTCATCTTCAGTTGCGAACATTTCAGCTTCCAAATATCAATCTACTTCTAATCATGCCAATAATTAGGTTATATTTAAATCTATAAATACACAGTAAAAAATTTTGTACAAATAACGGTCTACTGAAATTTTTGTGTTAACATGGGAATATGTGGAAAATATATGTTAAGTCAACATATTCGCTTTGTGTAACATATTATTTTTCCAGCTCAGTTATTTACACAACATTTCTTACCGTGTAGTACAAGTTTCAACGAATTAAAAAAAAAGACTGATCTTATGCTGCTTACTACCTTAAGCGACCGAACAAACGCGGTTTCTCGTTTCACTTTGCCCGATTGATCGGCTCTTTGCGCGAAGAGCTCTCGCTAAAAAGAAACATAAAGATCCGGAGAGATCCGTAGGCTAACAATGCCGTCGTTTGTAGCTTTGACCGACCGCCGAGGCGGAGCCTCGCCCGCCAACCTGTTTCCAAAGAGCATCCTTGATTAATCGATTACAGCTAATTGATCGGTCGAACTCCGCCTTTCCCGCGACATCACTGTTTCCCGCGGACGCGTTTGTATTTTTCCCCGGGTAATTCGCTCGTCGCCGTTCCACGTGCAACAAGTTAATATTGCTGTTTTTGCGGCTGCATATACGCGAAACTGGTCGAACCGAGGCTTCCAGGGAAGATCGTTACACGCGAGCGCGAGCGTTGAATGATGAAACGTATCGACGCGAATGATGAGAGTTCACTGCCCATTCGCACGCTCGGAATCGCAGATTTGCGATCGGTATTTACGTCGCGGCCGCGGCTGCCATAAACGCGAAGCTACGGTGTTTATTGACGATGCCGTGCAAACGCGCGCTGAATAAAACCGCGCGAGCTCGCATTCAATGACGTGCGTCTGCGATTTTTCACCATTGTCACAGTTCTACCCCCGGCTCTCGTAGTTTCTGCTTGCTTCGTGTCGCGGGATTGCGCGGCTGACAGCAGGAAACAAGCCCGATAATTGTTAGTCCAAACCTACGATATCGGACCGAAGCTTGCGCGATTCTTCAATTATTTCCCGTCCTATCTCGCGTATTCATTCGGAATTTGATCTATCGCGAGATCCAGCCGCGATTCGGAGGCTCGATAGACTTCTTCTCGATGAGAGACGAGTTCCCTTTCGTCTCCCGGCTAGAGAATTGCGAGTTGAGAGTAAGTCGGGACACGTTCAGCAGTGAGTATTTTTAGTCCGACCTGCGAGAGAGAGGAACGGGATCTCGAAAGCGGGAAAGCTTTAAGCTGCCGAATCAATACCGGGTGGCGGAAGTGAGACGGGAGTAGAGAGAGAGGCTAGAGAGATAGGAGAGTCGCGCGGATGGAAGAAAGGAAGGAAGGAAGGAAGGGACAAAGGAGGCCAAGGAAAGATTCAACTTGGAATTCTTGCACGCTCGGTCGCGCGCTCGCCGATATAGCGCGCCGATAAGAGCGGCTCCTGTGTGCCGATTATTTCGCGCGAGAATATCGGCTATTCGGCCAAGATGACAGCCGTCAGATCAGCATGGACTCTTTCTGTCGATTCCTCTACAACGTCGTTCTCGCCGTTATCGTCTTTCTCAGGATCATCAGTGAGTAGAGCGCGAGAGCGAGACAGCCGATCCGGCCGGATCGTTTTTTCCCGCGATCCCGCGGAAAATTCCATTTCGCAAGCGTCGCGGAAATAATTGCGATCGCGCAAAACGATCTACGACGCGACACGTCGCTTCATCGGAATAACGTCGCATCGCCGACAACCGCGTCTTTTTTCCCGCGGGGTTATTTTACGCGCGGACACGTGCGCGTCCGTCCATCGAGGTTATTTAATTAAATAATTAGCTGCTGGTGTTTTTCTTCTTCTTATTATTATTATTATTTCGTTTTGTTGATGTATCAGCGATTACGCGAAACGGCCGCGTATGAACAATCGTAATGGCCGCGCGATGTAAATTCCTGCGGTCGCAAGCTCTATATTAACGGGCGAGGTGTACTCCGCCAATATTAACCTGTGCTGAATAAATTTTATTAGTATTCCATGCGAGCTACCGCGAAGATAGTCGGAATATCGGATAACCGCGACTGCAGTATTTAACTTGGCTATCTATCCCGGGCGCGAGCTTAAAGCTTAAAGCTCGCGCCATTACTCTCTCCTCCGGCGTCTGCACCGCCGGATAATACCGCGCCTTCGACGATCCCCAATGACAAGCTTTCTTACCGTAATCGCCGCCGCGATAGATTAGCCGGGAACTTAAATTGGATCCCGGACGCGGTCTGTGTTCGGCGTTCCTCTCCTCCCGTTTCGCCCCCTTCCGCGGAGGAGCGCGACCAAACTCGAACGACGTTTCACCTATTCCACGATCATCGCGAGGAATTGATCTTCCCTCAGTTCTCGTGGATCATCTTAGGTCCCGCCGGGCAATCATCTTACATCGGAATCTCGCGGAATTCCGTGAAAAATGCAGCGGGTCTCGCGGAATTCCGGCCGGCCGCCGGGAGATTAATACGGCGGACGAGGGCCCCGATATCGGAGACGCATCGATAATCCGCCGGTAATTATCGATTACGCACCATCGTGCGACCTTTGGAACGTCCCGACGGCGGCTGCGGGCGAACGCGTCTCTACCATGATCTACCATAACTCAGAACCTTGACCTTTGCGCCGCTCGTTATCCGCTGATATTTAAAGACCGAGGCATCGCACGCCACGCGAAACAACGGTGCCATTCGGGATTTCTGCGAAGCAATATTCCTCAAGAAGCACACGGCGACTATTATCGCGTGCGGAGTCACGTCAAGCGGTCGCTCAAAGGAGGGAGCGGGAAGGAGGAAGAGGGAGAGGAGAGAGAGAGATAGAGAGAGAGTAGCGGACGCAGACGCATGCGTCGGGTAAAATCGATGCCTAATTTTCTACGGCCGATACACGATCGTCTCGCCGTCTCTTTCTCTCTCTCTCCCACTCTCTCCCTCTCTCTCTCTTTTTTTCTCTCGAATTAGACGAACATGACGGAAGTAACGTGGCTGAATAAAAACGCGATGTCTATTCCTCCCCCGGACTCACCCGTTTCGTCGTTTTTTACGATACCTCGGCTCCCACCCCGCCTGCTCCATTTCGCGTGACCGATCGCGATTATCATACGGATTTTCGCGGAAATATTTGCATTCTTCCGCGGGAAGTATCCCCCGTCTAAATAATTCGTGTCGCTGCGACGGCGAATTCTCGTCCCGATGATCGATCATCTTTTTACCTTCGCTATCGTAGCCTCTCTCTCTCTGTTGAAGACACAAATAACGATAAAATGGTATTTTCTACAAGGAAGAATGTTTTTTGTTCACATCCTGTAGATTATAATTGTACGTTTCGTTGCTCTCGTTTCCGATAACTTTTTTTCATCATCGAACGACGTGTCCCAATGAAATTTCTTTCTCGCATGTTCGCAGAAAACGGCCTCCTCTCCTTCGAGAACCCCAACTACCATCTGGATCCAGCCCGGCTGGACGATGCTCTGAACAGCAACGAGAATGACGGCTCTCTGTACGACGAACTGTACCAGCAATTGGTCGGCAGCGGCGGCAGAGGCGGCGAGGTGACCGGCGGCGGGGGAGGGGACGGTGGAACGAGGGTGCAGGCACGCAGAACGTACGCCACGTTGGATCTGGGCAGCATGGGGGTGGACGTTACCCAGGGCCCTCTCACGCAGGATTCCGTGACGGACGACGCTTCCGACAACACGGACAACCATAACCTAGGGTGAGTACCGTTAACTCTGTCATGTTCTTCCTCTCTGCTCGTTCCCTTCCCTTCGTCTCTCTCTCTCTCTCTCTCTCTCTCTTTCTCTCGTGCCGTCGTTGGCGGCCGATAAATGGTTTTCCGATTCGCACTGATGGAAAGATACTATCGCGCGCAGGACGATGGAAATTAAGGACGTGCCGGGACGAGAATACGGTGAAATACCGTCGCTTTGACCGAATTCCCCGACATTATTTGCTTATCGCGATGAATTTGCCGTCCGCGTGAAATACTCGAAATTAATCGCTTCATTTTCCCTTTTTCCTCCATTTTTTTTATTCTTTTTTCGCGCTCCCGGCGGAGTTATTACAACGTATCTCTCTGCCATCGTTATGCGTCGCGAGGACGATGATGACGGGGAAACGCGAAAACCCGCGGGGTCACCGGACATCCCGCTGGGAAGAAAAGTAATAATGAAGAGTTATTACTTTTAATATCCGCGAAACCACTACCACCGATAACACGCCGCGTCACGAAACATGTATTATGTAACCACACGACCGCGCATCCAGATAGCTTTCCACCGAGAGATCCTTTCCATCCCTTATCTAGACTGAGACATCCGTGCATTCACGAGTCTCTCTCTCTCTCCCTCTCTCTCTCTTTCTCTTTCTCTTTCTCTTTGAAGCGCGGCAAAATGGAATAAGCTCTTGCAGCAAAATCGAGAAGCTCTCTCTTTTTCCCTCGTAATATAAGGTCCGGCTACCCGCCAGCCGTCAATAAAACTTTCGAGTCGGACCTCTCTCATCGGGATACCGCATAAAATTTCAATAAATCCGAGAGCGAGAGAAAAGAGGGCTGGCGGGACGGCTCGGGGTGGAACGGAACGGTCGATGGTACAAGACAGTTCGAACTTATTCGCGACTGTTACACGAATTCGAACGTGGCACAGATCGAAATTCACCTCTCTCTTCTTTTCTCCTCGCATTTCCCCCGCGACTCCGTGCCGCTGTCCGATTCCGCTATCGAGTTTCCGAGGATATTTAGGATAACATGGAATCGCGATTAGCGCTCATGAAATAGGAGACCGAGCTGAAGCACAGCAAAGAGGTTATGCCTCGGATAAAAGGGAAATTTATCTTAGAGAAGAAAATCGAGAAAAGAATGATAATAATTGTTAATCAATTATAAAGATACATTAAGAGAAATTGTAGTTACTTTCGATCTCAACTTAACAATAAATAATACGTTCCTTGTTTGATTTTAACCACAAAAATAGTAGTAGTAATACGCTAAGTAGTAGTTATTATCACTGACACGATAATAACGCTCACTATGTAATGTAGTAATAATTCGGTTATCGTTGCTGAAAAGCTAAGCAATATCCAAAACACGTTTCTTCGTTTCTTCGGAGGCCTGAATGATATTAATTTTTAATATCTCCAGAACAATGAAGGAGCCAGACAAACTTTCCTATCTTCATTTTCACAGGCGCTCAGTTGTCTTAAAAAAATTTATTTCCTTTTCTCCGTGCTTTCCTGTACTTCGTAACATCTGAAATAGTTGAGCTCTCACTTCCTTCGCGTCTTTAATCCCGGGAACAAGATTTTCCGAAAGCTCAAGACACAATCGCCTTCCAGTACCTGCGCTCAGTTTCAATCTACTTTTAGTTAAGATCGAAATTAGATTCGCCGCTTCAACCGGCTCCTATAATTAGTTTCGGTTGCCTCCTCTTTCATCTAACTTTCGATCATTACAGGTGCTTTACTTTGAAAGAAATATCTGGCCGGTATTTGATATTTCTTTTGTTTTTCTTTTAGGTCAAGACCTGATATATATCGCCGAATTAATATTAAATATGAGATATCAAAGTAAGATTAAAGCTCATCTAGATTCCGGACGGTTAGCAAACGATCATCTATCGCTTCTCTCTACTACAATTTTACTTTCCATTATCGTGTATTTCCTTCGTGCTTCTCGATTTCCGTCGGACGATTCGAATAAGTACAGGCTACATAAATAAAATCGCCCGAATGGAAAGAAATCAACAGGGGGATAAGCAATTTTGTTCATTCTACGGAGGAGTCAAGACGCATTAACGGTTAGCCGCAGGCTCCAGCGTGAGAGTTCTTGCCTCTACGGTATAATAAACTCCTTTCTTACCCTCGGACTCGGACCCTCTTGCCGGCCCGGAAATCCGGGCGAGCATAAAAATGCAATTAAGGAAACGCCCGGCGTCTGGCCGCCTCCGCGCATAGTGCTCCTCCTGAAAGGTGTCTCTTCTCTTCTCTGTTCCCACCGTTTCTAGATCTTTGGTCTCTAATTCGGTTTCACATTTTCCTCCAGCTTCTCCATCCTCATGTGCTTTTAGCATGACTCCCGATAACGCGAGTAAATCCGTATTAGAGAGAGAAAGAACAAAACAAACAATATCGAAAATCAGACATACCGAACGAAATTCAGGGAGAGAGGAAGAGAGAGAGAGAGAGATTTTATATTATAAAATACAGTTCTCTCCCGGCAAGTTTTCGAATGGAATATACCTTCTCGTAAAGAGCGCGAAGGTGTGTACGGGTAAAATATAAAGCTATTATTTTAGACGCGTTCTCTCCTCTCTCGGCCACTCCGGATATGATACACGGAAAAGTTCATCCCGCGAAATTCACAAATGGGGGGGGGGGGGNAGTAGCACATTGACTCGTTCGTACACTTTTCCCCGGCCGTGTAGCGGTCCCTTGTTCGCCCCGTGTTACCGGTAAAATGGCGAAGTAAGGTAATGACGCCATCAGCCAACGAGAATACGGTGTTCCTGATCGAATTTTACGGGCGGCGCACGGCAGGGAGGAGGAAAAGCAGATTTCAGCCCGGCGACGACCCGGCGAAGGGCTTTCATCGCGGTACCACGTTAACTTGATTTACGTGATGTGCTCCTAACATACGCAACGTTATGTCGTTAGGTGCTCGACGCATCGGAATAGCTTCGTGCTTCCGGAATCCGTCGCTCCCGCTCCGTCGTCGCGACGAAATCGCGGGTAATCTCATCTCCCGTTCGATGAGCGCGCCGATACGCCAAATTGCGTTTAGCACGCGCCGCGTGTAAACGTGCCGCGAATTTATGAATATAAGAAACACGAGATCTTCTACCGTAGCCTCGCAAAAATATAAATTCCATACTTTCTCTCTCTCCCTCTCCCTCCTTGCTTCCCTTGTCCCTCGCTTTCTTTCTCTATCCGCACCGCGATATCCGATACAATATAACGCCCGTAATGGAATATCGGCGGGTAATATAATATATCCACATTATATCTCCGATATTATATTATCATCGAGCTTTCGGGAGCTTTAAATCCGCATTTCCGCATGTATTCGCGTCATGTATTCGCGGAATCGTTCGCTTCCAGCACCGCCGACACGTTATCACTCCGTGATTCACGGAGTCGCGCTTAAGAAATCGCGAACATCGGACAACCCGCGGACCGACCGAAACCTCGCGAAACGCTCGTTAAAACGGCATGCCGATAAGCACTCGGTGCGTCGATGGTTTCCAGGGGAAAAAAAGGGAAGTCTTTACGAGGGCGCCGCACAATTTCACACAGGACGGTCACTTTGTTACCTTCAGGTGGCGGAAGGGAGGGGATGGGCGAAAGGGGGACGGCATAGAAGCGCGCGCGAACTCGAAGACGACGGTCCGAGCATGAAACGTCCCGACATTTCCACCTCCGGCTGGATATTAGGCGATAAGCTGGCTGTAAGGGGCGGCGAGAGGGCGAGGAAGGGCCGGCGGTCGAGTCACGATAAGGCAGAAGGTGCGAGGAGGATGGCAGGGTGTGTGTGTGCGCACACGGAGATTGAACTCAATCTAAACTTGCGACAAACTCCCCCCCCCCCCCCC